TATGTTTTTGTGTGCTCATCCCTACCTTGTTTCTATACTTTTTTTGGAAAGATTTGGCTACTTATGTAGTGACTTTTTATGGTTTTGTGTGCTCATCCCTACCTTGTTTCTATACTTTTTGACATTTCTATCCCTACATCATCCTTAATTTTTTCCCCTCTTTTTTTTTTATTACTTGTAATCATATATATAGAAAACAAATATAAAGATACCTGTTTTAAAAAGACAATCTTTTTAAAAATAGATAAACACTATCAAATAAAAACAATGTTTTGTCACTGTTAAAGGGGCATCATATATATCTATACTCATCCAGTGGTGCTACTTGCACTTTGAACAATATGAAAAATGTCTTTCTTGCAACAATTCTAACTTCTAAACAATGTAAAACTGATTTTTTAACAAGTCTATGTTATAAGATTTACAGGTTTTTTAAACAATACTAGCTTTGAAGAAAAATCTCTTATGTCCAGACATTGTTAGTGTGTTTGGAAAACCAAGGTGCAAAACCAGAGTGTGAACAATTGACACACAGTGATGATTTCAGCTTAACAACACCTCAGAAGATGTGAACAGTTGGCACATGGTGGTGATTTCAGAGTGTGGACAGATAAGATGGTGTGAACATTGGCACATGGTGGTGATTTCACTTTATCAATAAATAAGAGGGCGTGAACAGTGGCACACAGTGATAAGTTTAGTTTATCAACAGATAAAAGGGTTTGAACAATAGCAAACTGATGAATTCAGTATGTCAACAGATATTTGAATAAACTAGAAAAAATAAGTAAATTTTAAAGCACCAAACTTTTCACAGTATGCTGACAGAGAATCGGTAATGTATGTAGTAAACTAGTTTTGTTCTACTGTTACTTGTATGTGAATTTCATGAACATTATTGATTGAAATGTTTAATATGTTTTTTAGTTTTCTTTATTATATATTATTATAATTATTTTGCATTGTTAGCTTAGAAATTCAATTTAGAACTGAACTAAAACTCTTAAATTGTCTGATTCATGTAAGATATTACTGGGATAAGGCTGAAAAGTATGTTTACAGCAAGAGTTCCTAACTAGTGAATCATAATAAGTGGTAAGATTTTTCACAAACTTAATTAAAATGAAACTAGTTACGTTTATTACTAGGTTGATTAATTTAATTAGTTAATAACAGATATCAATCACTGTTATATTTGTAAATTATTAATGTGGATAATATTAAATCATCCTTTTAAGTTAAATAGTTTTATTTTTCAATATATTAATAACATTTCTAAAAGATGTTTCTTAGATTTCATTCTTCATTGGGTCCTTACTTTTCAAACGATATGTTGGTTTGTGTTTTGTAGGGAAGAAGACTCAGATGATGATCCACATGGACATATCACTTCCTTGGTAAAGCTTTTTTTTAAAAAAAATACAAAGCATTATTGTTTTTAGAGAGGATGTATTGCCAAATGCAGTTGATATTGAAACCTGTAGATTAATATGAAAAGTGTTTTTAAACCGAATTTCATGATGTCAACTAAGAAAAAATATGTATTTTTTCTTTTTGTCCTGTACAATTACACTTTGTACATATATATATATATGTGTGTGTGTGTGTGTTTCCAATGCAACTGATCATCTACCTGAAAGAAATATGATCTTTATATGTTGGAAGTGATGTATCTACTCCTCTAATTCAAGTGATCGAGGTGAAACAAGTTTCAATACTATATACTGTTTTAAATCAACTGATCATCAAATAGAAGAAACAGTCTTTATATGTTGGCAGTGATGATTTCACAGAGGTTAAAGAGATGATTAACTACTAAATTTTAGCTTGAGGATGGTCTCTGTTAGTATTTCTTATTTATTCATTTGGCAAAGTTATAAGGGACAGCAGTTTGGCAGACCATAAAAGTAGTGTGTGGTTAGGACAATATGTCAAGCCATACAGTATGGAAGAAACTTATATGTGACATATTTATAAGAATTTGGAGGCTCAGGGATGAATCATCCCAAATCAGCATCCTGATGTGAACTCAAAAAAACCCATCTGGCTAGTCACAACCACCAGGAAAAGTCCAGTTCTTAGTGTTGGGTTGGCTTGCACTTTTAGATTGACACTCCTGCCCCATTTCTCATCAGTGGTGTTGTCCATACCAGTGGGATTAACACCACTCCAAAATGGAACTATGCTTATCAGTCCCTTCCCCCAGTTTGTTGCTCATTGTCAATCAGGTAGTACACCAATCTGCAAGTTAGGAATAATATCCTTACACATACTCAAACTCATACATTACTGGGGTGGAACATTACTCTTGTTGTTTTTTTCACCCTTTGCATCAGCACTTTACACCCATAATCACAAAAAAAATTTGGCCACTGCACTAAAATTTATTTTTCTTCTTTACTCTGTGGTATCTCAGTAAAGCAGAAAGGTTAGGTCTGCTAATAACTGGATGTTCTCAGAGTTGAGGTTTATATTTCTCAACACATTGCAGCAGTCACAAAGAAAGAAAAACAACAGATTTACACACAGAGAACAAATGTTTAATGACAATTTGATATTTTAAATACAAACAACAATGCACTACAATAGAATAAACATCTATACAGTTCACAGTAGAGCAAGTCATCTTGAGTTTGTGCATAAATAAAATATGTTTGACTAGCAAGAGCAATGAAGACTTTAATATAAAAATAACCTGTTGCTCATGCAGGTTCTTTTCTCTCATTGGGGGTGGGAGGCCTACAGGGAGCAGCACTTGGTGGTAGACAATATGTAGCTTAATAAAGTGTCCCAAAGATGGGAAGACAGCAAGAGCTGTTCAACCTCACTATATATAAATACACTCATGAGATTTTTCTCTGTTGCTATAGTCTCAGAATTGAACTAATCTTTTTAATTTCTTTCTTCTCACAAATCCATCCACCATCTTCTCCATGTGAGATTCTAACTATTTTGTTTGATGAGGAGGTGAATAATGTAGTTTGAAGTTAACATTTTCTTATCTGAAATGTATTTTGAATAGAAACTCACCTTTCCCCAGAACCACCAGTTTTTCCTTCCCACTTCTCGTATTACTATTTGTTTCATCAGCTTTTAGTATACACAAAGTGCTCAAGAGGAATACTGTGCAGAGATGGTGTTTTGCCCTCATATGGCAGAGGGCTATAGTTTAATGCTGAGTTGCTAGCTGTGGAGAGTTGAGTATCTAATACTGAGTTGCTAGCTGTGGAGAGTTGAGTATCTAATACTGAGTTGCTAGCTGTGGAGAGTTGAGTATCTAATACTGAGTTGCTAGCTGTGGAGAGTTGAGTATCTAATACTGAGTTGCTAGCTGTGTATTCTGTGGAGAGTTGAGTATCTAATACTGAGATGCTAGCTGTGTAATCTGTGGAGAGTTGAGTATCTAATACTGAGTTGCTAGCTGTGTATTCTGTGGAGAGTTGAGTATCTAATACTGAGTTGCTAGCTGTGGAGAGTTGAGTATCTAGTACTGAGTTGCTAGCTGTGTATTCTGTGGAGAGTTGAGTATCTAATACTGAAAAATATAAGGCATTTTTAAAAATCAATAAAATCATCAAAATATCAGTGAAAGATAGTTTTGGGTGATATTGACTACAACAGACTTTAACTTTCAGTGGTGAATAATGTTCAATCATACTTGGCATGATAAAGGTCTTCATGCAATGGGTTTGTAAAGGTTTCAAAT